AAAAAAAAAAAAAAAAAAAAAAAACAGAGGCAGCACAACAAATCGCACGCTGCCAGCCAACCCCCTTCTTCCTCAGAGTCCTTTTTCTCCAAAACTCTTCGTTTTGGTCTTTTCTCTTAAGGTAAGTGGGATTAATTTTAGATAGATTAATATGTTCTAATCCCTAGACCCTTCTGATATCTTTTTCAATATTCTTGTCAAATGGGTTTGCCCTAAAAGTATTAGGTTTTGCCAATTTCTTCTAAAAAGTTGATTATAATGCTTATGTGAAGATTATTATTGGATTTTAAATTGAAAATCGTGGAATTTATGGGATGGGTTTGAAACCCTAGCTTTACCCTAACCTAATTATAGTTTTTGGAAAAAGATTTACGATTATATTTAAATATTATGATTTTTGGAATTAGACCATGCCTATTGTGGTTGACATATTTTTCGAATTTTTATTTGGCGATATAAAGTGTGATTATAGCGAACTTGTTGGGTTTAATATCCTACTTTTGCATGGTTAAATGTTGACAATTGAAATATTTTGAGTTTAAAACGCTCTTTTTGAAATTTGCCTAAGAGCATGTTGCGTATTTGGTCAAATTGGTAATTGAAACTACCCGTCGAGTCCGATCAACTCGTCGATTGTTTGGATGATAAGGCATAGCCTTCCACCTCTGTGCCTTGCAAACACGTGAGGGTATACCGGTATTTTAGGATAACTAGCTAACCTTGAACTAGATCCCGAATGGGCTAAGTCGAAGGATCGAGATGGCGGGTTCCCTTTTTGGGTGATTCCGAGGTGCCCGTCATTCACGATGAAAAGGTCTTTGGACCGTCATCCGTGATGGAGGGTTCGGTTGCGTACAATCCCCTCTTGGTATGTTATATTGGAGACTAGAGGGTTGTGGGCCATATGGCGCCCCTCGCAAACTAATAATAAATTGATTTACGTGTATTTTGGGTTTCAAACCCTTATGTACACATTTTGGAGTTTCCTTTGAGGGTTGTGACCCTATGTTTGTTATGTGAAACTATGTGACGTGTCATACGATGTAATAAGGTTGGAAAACCGGGTCGAGCCGGCACTGATTAAGGCCTAGCGGAGTTTTCTTCGTGATGTGTCCATCACTCTTATTTGAGAATGAAAAAAAGATATAAGGGAGGCACTAAAAGACTCGTGTGTGTGAGTTATCCTTATGTGATATGTGTCATCTTATTCAAATTATGTTCATCAAATGATTTTGTGGCATTATACCGTATTAATTTATCTCCGATTAATTGCGCTTACTCAATCATTGTGTTGACTCTCTTTTTACAACTTTATGTAGGTTATCATGTTTCAGTTATACCTAAATAATGCATCCATGTCATATGATCCATCGGGGGAACTATAACTACTTTATCTTCTAAAATATTTTTGAAATCCATTATTAATGTTTAATAACTAATGTCTTTTGAACTATTTCCAACTTATGTTTTTGACTCGAACATTATATATTTAAATGATAAACTAAATCTCTAAATAGTTATTTTGTAATGATTATTTTAGCCTTAGCGCCACAACGTAGGGCTAATTGGTTGATGAACGAACCTTACGGTGTGGCGTGGCGGTGACGCTCCGGTTTAAGCCGACCGGGGTGTTAAAAATAGTGTATCTGAAACATTAAACCCAAAAGAAAGTGGAAATTTACCTGAATATGTTAAGGTGCATGTACCTGTAGGCTTCTCCAATTTACTAATGATGGATCTTACCCATTCGATCTCTTGATCATCCAGCTGGACAGATTCTTCACTTTGTCCATTCACAATGTCTGTTTGCCCTTGCCCTTCTTTTTGGGAGGGTCTCCTTTTGGCCGCCATTCTCAGCTTGGGGGTTTTCCATGTAATTTCCAGCACTTCTCCCTTGTTTGGCACGGCTTGTTACAGTGGGTACACCAAACCTCCTCATGATTTTTCTCTATATTGGGAACCCAGCTTTTCCTCTGGATAGCAACCATGATTGTTCCTCTTTCCGTTATCATTGCAGAGCTTTCAAAGGTTGAGGTCTGCAGCATCAATCCTGTTTTGTTTTCTTCACTCCGGATAATGGCTACCACTTCATTAAACCCTAAGACTTTCTCTTTTCCCAGGATTTGGATTCGGACCTGGTCATATTCAGGATTTAGGCCTACCAAAAAATCGTGCACTCTATCTTGTTCAATATACCCCTTTAGAATGGTTGAGTCTTCTAAACACTTTGCTTTTATAATTCAATAGTGGTCCAAGTCCATCCATAGAGACTTGAGTTGATTGGCATATTCTGCAACTGATCTATTTTCCTCTTTGGCAATCACGGTTTTCACCTTTACATCATAAATTTGAGCAGCATCCTTGGCCTTAGAATAAGTTTGTTCTACTGCCTCCCAAATTTCTTTTGTTGATTGAAACATGCAGGTATCACTTATTTTTGGGACCATTGAATTCCACAGCCACGCCATGATCATGGAGTCTTCTTCGTCCCATAATTTGAGCAAGGGATCTGTTTCCTTGGGTGAATTACCAGTCAGATGACTGATATTTCCTTTTCCTTTCAAGACAGTCCTACTGAGTTGAGACCCTTTGAGATAATTCTTCCTATTTAGCCGACAAGAAGAATGAACATTATGCTATTCTCCAGCAGTCTGGGGCTTGTCCCCAATTTCCAAGTTCACGACCTCAGCTATGACCAAACGCGATCAAGGTAGAGAAGGTTGCGCTGCAGTGAAGGCTGCGACAAAGCTTAATGGTAGCGCAGCAATGAAAGCTGCAACTTAGGTTTATAGGCACGGTCAGAGACTCCCAAGGATCGAAAGCTCTGATACCATATCACATTAGAAAGAAATAATATTCTTTCTTATTTGTATCATGATTCATGAGGTTACTGGAATCCTATACATTCATGAGTCTGCAGCCTAGTTTAGGACAGCTAATTCTAAGGAAAACGAATCATGTGATTATAGGAGTGATCCTAAATACATAAACCTAATAATGGCAACATACAACTACTACAGAAATACAGCATAGCAAATATAAAACTTCCTAAAATACACAAATTCAAAAACGGATTTGACATCTACTAACAACTTTGGCGGAAGCCGAGTAGATCCGGAACAAGCTGTGAACTGTCTGGATAATCCCGAATCGGTTCTCAGAGGTTGTTTTGGGGGCTGCCCCGCAACCTTAGAAAAACTATTGCTCGACTCCCACATATTGTCAGTTGTTGTCGAATTACTTCCCCCGGCGGTTTCAGAAAATTGCCTGAACATGTCCCCGAGGCGTTGAAATCTCTCCGTTCAATCGAAAGGAACAATTTGTCCTCAATATCTCTAGCCAATTTCATCGCCGTCTCCAAGTCATTTGGGCGAAGCAGCCGTAAAGAGCCGAGAATCGGGTCCTTTAGTCCATTTATGAAATACGCCAAATAATGTTTATCAGACAGACCTGGCACCTGCTTGCCTATTGGACAAACAACAACACATAGTCCTCCATTGTTCCAATTTGTCACCGGACAACCGCTCAAACCGACTTTCCTTAAATTGTGCTACAAATCATGTGTGAAATCCTCCCACGATTCTAGACTTTTGCACCCTCAACCATGGCCGGTTATCCATAGCAACCACAGCTAATGCCACCTTCATCTCCGGTGGAGTACAGTTCAATTAAAATTGTTGTTATGCCCTAACCATCCATCCAATCGGATTTCCACCTTTAAACAATGGCAATGGTGTTGTTGTTGCACCGCCATGCGCCTGGTCAGACCCCATCACATCCACCAGGGGTGTGAGTGTGTGACGGATGCCCCCATCACTCCTTGTGTGCCTCTTACCGACGAGTGCCCCTTCGGTGATGGTTTTTTAATTGCCTTTTATAGCATAGCCAGAGAAGCTGCGATTTCAGCTAATTGTGCATTGTTCTATGCTGATTTTGTACCATTCTCTTCCAATTTTTTCTTCATCTCAGCTTAATCAGCCTCCAATCTATGCACAATCGATCGCTTGTCGATAGCATAATTCTGGAAGATCGGACCAATTGATTGAAACAAGATAAATAGATAGGGTTAATCAAATGATATCAATTATTTGCTCAAAAGCCTCCAGGCTATGTTTCCAATAAGAATGATATCTCAAAATCTAGCTATTTCTAAATACTACTCGTAATCCCTACTTGCTAAATTGTGGCCTCCTCATTCACGAGCTCTTGTCCCTGCTCTCTATCACATACACAGGCAACTAAAGCAATTCCAGACAAAGTGGCTGAAGTCTTGGCCATAGTTGCAGCAGGCGGCACAACAGCACCGACCAGCACAAAAATCGTGGCCCTTTGCCCATGGGCCATTGCCCAGATAGCAATGGGGCCAACAACAATAGGGAAACTTTGTCCCCCAACCAGGGGCACCCATAACATAGTAGTGGATATACTCCCACAACAAATAGAAGGCACTGCCACAGCAGCAGTCAACTGATTACTAAGTTAACATAGAGTCCCTAGGCCTAGCATAGGTAGGATGTGCTGAATAAAAATTCTCATCAGTTTTATTGAGGCTTTTGGCTTCCAACTTGGGCCAGAGGCTCAGGGTTTTCTTGTGAAGGTCTCCACTCAATGTCATTTTTCCCCTAGAAACCCCCACTTTATTTCAGTATCAATCTCTATGTAGCCAAAATGGTTGAACCATATAATTTTGATGCCCATGATTTCTCTCACACCAACTTATACATATAGAACATGAGTACCATAAATGAAACAATTCAGGCACAAACTAAACACCTACCAAAGAAAGTTTCATGTCAAATCAGAACATGCTCAAATTATAACATCTAGGTTGAAATTATCCTAAATCAAATAAAACCAAGTGAAAGGATTCAAATATGACAGTTTTATGCACATGAAAATCAAGTAAGTTCTCATCAAATACTAAAGACTTCAAGATCTAGTTATAACTAGCTCAAGTAGGAATACTTCAAGAAATTCCATATAGCAAAACAACATCTTACCATACTTCTCAAGGTATCGAAGTGCTTTTTCAAGGAACGAAGGCCCACCATCTATATCTTCTAGTGCAAGTAGAATTGGGCGTCCAACAACCAAAGATTTGATCGAGCGCTTGTCTTTCCCTATATTAAAGGGAAATCCTAAAGATTAGTGATTCACATAGAATGAATTTCCTGTTGAAATGCTACACAAGGGCCAGCGAACAAAACTCTTCAAAGTAGCTTTTACTTATAAACATGAAAAATATTATAATAGGTACAAACATTGATGGAATGACCCTTCCATAGTTTCATTTGTATCACTCCTAAATATCCCATTGTGTCCCATCACAAGGGCAGCACTAGGTGCTTGTGCAATAGCATTCTCAAGGGCTGTCTTCCACTCATTTAAGTCCTCTAGCGTCTCTGCCTGAAATTTAAAGAACAAAAAATTAGTAAGAGCAGAGGTGTTGATTATCTTTCAAGAAAAATATGGGTTTCCTAGACACATTGTGATTCAAGAAATAATAGGAAAAAAAAATATGGCGGTACCTTAAGAGTAAATGCTCGTCCATCACGCCCATCAGGAAACAAAACAGTCAGCAGTTTCTTGTCTTCTCGAAGCACAACACTACACATAAAGAAATTATTAAATAGGGAGGGAATTTTTATTTCTTAAAAAAAAAAAAAAAAAAGTCATTATCCATACCTCCCTGAATTGTTTAAATCAATACCACCCAAAGTCAAGTTTACTTCACCACCACGCTGTGGAAGTGCGCTCTACACAAAATAGAATGCTTGATAATCATAGTAAAACATTAAAGAATTAAATTAAGGATTTAATTATAATATAAAGGAAAAAAAAAAAGTGAACAGGGATGAAACCAACAGGGTCATTTTTGAAGAAAACCAATGAGGTGCGTGTGAGGATAAACCATCTCTTCTTCCAATACTTCCATCCTAAACCTGAATGAACAATTTACCAATATCCCTCATGAGCACCTTTTATGAATAAAATAAGATTTAGAAGCCAAATCCATTCCATGGAAAATTCCACAATGAACTGGAGAACTTTGCTGAAAAGTTTTTTGTTCCTTATTTGACAACCAGACCTTTATAATAGCATGCAGAGGGGATTCATACACCCAGTGACGATTACTGGAAAATTGCAAAATATTTTTGCATTAAGATTCAATTTGTTTGTTATCATTAAGTAACATCCAAAATTGATTCAAGGTAAATCAAAACACACTTAACCAGATTGGAAACCCCTAATTGAGCAGATTGTAAATCTAATTGGCTACATTCAATAACTCAAATCCATATTTTAAACTGCACTTGAAAATAGAGGATGGCATTTCCTTCTACATAGAGCTTAAAAACAATGATGTGTCCAATTGTAGCCAATCTGAGATGAAAAGTCAGATCAGAAACGGTTTTCAGCAAGCAGGAAGGTGACTAATATGTGGCTGCAACCTTCAATAGGTAAACAGAAACTGGAAATGCCAGACTGCTTGCAAATTAACTATAGGCTCAGGACCAAAAGAATGTCCTGAAGAAACGACTCTGTTTATATGTCTACTTGCTAGACCAAATATTTCTAATAATTTCCAAACATGTGTATTCTTTTGGAGTTTGGTCTCAGTGTTTTTTCTATGCTAGCATCATGATTCCCTATAGAAATACACTATTTCATCTTACAAAACATCACATTAAAACCACTGTTCAAACCAAAACTAAAAATCTAAACTAAACTCCAAAAGAACACACATTTCAAAAATAATACTTCACATAAAATTAAAATTCCAACAATTGTTCAATCATTATCCCCTATTTGCATTCAAAACTTATTTATACTCACAAAACCCTGTATTTTGCATTGTTTCTATGAACTCAATCATATATTTGCACTACTAGTTGCTATCTATATTTGAAAATTACACACTATTCTACACAATCAAAACACTCCCAAACTACATTCAAATATAACACTTGAGTCTTACTTTCTAGTTGTGTTGTTTAGCTTAAAGCCTATGATTCTCTTTTTTAAATGCTTCCGAACTACTGCAGTGAACTTGAAATTTTCCTCCACTGTCATATGTTTTGATCTCTCTTTCAAATCGAAATCTTTCAATCTAAATGTGGCCTATATGATTTCAGTACCCATAGCTAACTACTCTAAAATTATTCAATATAAAAGATCATAACAAAAATATAAAATATTGTATCCCCAAAACAAGAGTGGAAGCCATCATTATAACCCCGAGAGAAGTGAAACAGAGTGCATGGATTAACCAAGCCTGATGATCCATAATATAATAAGCGACAGATTAAACAAGCACTCGCCATCCATATGTGTACCTGAATCCAAAAAAAGAATGCGAACAAAATTTTTAAAATATAATCATGTGAAGCCATAACAGTATATCACACTGGCATTCTATTGCATTGAAGTAAACTCAAAATAAATATCTCATCAAAATGAAATTTTAGTCAAAATTCTAAGCTTCTACTTCTTCCTAGCTACATCCAAAAAACACCACTGAGCACACCCTTTTGCAACATTATCTTTGAACTCCACCGGTCCCTCATAATTGGTCAACTCTCAAAAGAAATGTAATCACAAGAGCACCAATTGGAAAATACACACACAGGAAAAAATAAATAAATAAATAAAATAAAATAAAATAAAATTTCCCAGTTGTATAATGCTCATTCATAAGCAAGCAACTACAGGATTTTTCACCCACATCCCATTCATACCAAAAACTAATGAAATCATGTATCCCAGTACCAACTGTTGCACTAACCTTTGGAAGATATCAGTAGATGCCCACTCTTGAATATCTGTAAATCACCAAAAAAACTAATCATGAAGAAAAAACTGTCAAAAACTCGAGCAAATTCATTCACACAAGATTTGTCAAATTGGGCACGACAATCACTTGACCAAGCTTGACTACAAAATAGAATCCGGCGTGTTTCTCAAGAGCAGCGATAAACTTGAAGAAATTGGGAAAGAAAGAGCAACAAGAAGCCAGATTACAAGCATTACCGCATTGGAATTCACAACACGGGGGCATTCGAATGCGGCAAGAGAAGTCGACATTTGGCGTCCACTTTGGTCTGGCTTAGCCTTCTACAGCTGAGCCTGAGGCAACATCTTAAGTGGTAGTAGAAACGCCAGATCGAAGTCTGGCCAGGAAATCGGAGAAGATCTATACAGGGGAAGGGAGATGGACGAACAACCAAAATTGGGCCCTTTTGTTTAAAGTTTTGAACGCAAAAAATTAATGAAGTGTGGTGTGGATAGAGAGAGAGACGATGGAGTTGGAGGAGACAATGGCAGCAACCAACCAAGCTCCTTTTCTCACACGTCTTTTCTTCTCTCTCCTTGTTTACTGTTTCGGTGTGTTAGAGCACATACAATGACTCTTAATAATAAAAACCTCTGTTGCCTAGTTGGCATCTATGTGTCCAATCCTTTTTCATCTATGTCGATTTAAAAATTAAAATCAGCCACAACGACTCTCTTTCTCTTTCTGATTTTCTTAAGAAATATTTCTCTTTCATCACTTCCAAATTTCACACAAAATATTCATTCTCGTGTAAACCCAAATCTCCCAAACATAAACATAAGGTGTTCAACAAGAACTAAGAGTCAATTGAATATGCAAAATGCCGAACATGTGAAAGAATTGAATCAATGTAAGAAATTACAATGTGAGGTGTGAAAACACAGCAATTCACGAAGAATCATTCACTCACTCACACTAAAAACACATTGGAATTTGTAGAGGAAAGGAGAGGGGATTTGTTGAGAGAAAATAAATCTGTTTCTAGAAACAGACACAGGCGTAGCCCTCATCACTAAATAAAAATTAGAACCTAAAAAAATGAGAAAATCCCCAAAATTTACCCGTCGGTCGCCGGAAAAGTGCAACAATGTCGACTGTGAAATGAGGAAAAGAAGAGGGAGAACAGTCATCGGCGATGGGGATGGAAGATGAGTTTGGGGAAGAAGAAACGAGCAACAAGGGTGAGAGGGAGGACAACGGAGAGAAGGAGAGAGAAGAGACGACGTCGAGACGTGCTTCGCCTGCACGATGGTGCTATCGATTTTTGATCGAAATGATGGGGTCGAAAAGTAGGCCATTACGGATGAGATTTTTCGAAATTGAGAAAGACTGACATCGAAATACGAGATAAAGTCTTCTATTTAAGAGCCACAGTACGTGCTCTTAGTTTGTGGGCTTTTTCTTCTCTCTCCTTGTTCAGTGTTTGGGTGTGTTAGTTTATGGATTTAGTTTCGAGGTTTGGATGTTTGAATATTAACATCATATACAAAAACAATGCAATAATTATAGGAACTTTTTTTTTTTTTTTTATATGCCATGTCAGTTTAAGAATATATCCAGATGTATTCAATTGAGATTTTAATGAATTTTTGGGGATTTTAAAAAATGTATGAATATATGTGGATGATTCAACTTTGAGTTTGATGGATTTTAGTAATTGATTTAGATGAATTTCTACATATTTGATTGAATTGTTTATGGATTTATATGGATTATATAGGATTGTAAAATAATTTTTTTATGAATATATATTAATTATATAAATTTATATCAAACAACAAATTTTATAAATATAATAAATAATTATTAATGAAATAATATTTAATATTAATAAATAATATATAAGTATTAATAATGTAAAAGTATTGTAACATCTGTAATACTACTATATTCTAAATTATTAATTTTAATTTTATAATTTTAATATTATATTTTCATTCAATATATCAAATTAGTTTTATACTGCTTTATTAGTTATTATTATTATTCATATAATATTTTTACATAAAAGTAAATACGTATATAAATAAAATAAAAAATATAATTTACGATTTTTAAAAAAATATTAAAATAAATAAATAAATAAAAATTAACGGTTCAACAAAAAATATATATTTAAATATCTATTTCACTGTTATAGTAATGATAATATAGTGCATTCGATAATTGAAAAGAAAAGAGATAGTAATACATATTTATTGTGATAATATTATTTTTTTTAATTATATTTATAATATAAAAATATATATTTAAAAAAATTCATAATAATTTGCTAATATATTTTAGTTTTAAGGTGACCATTTTTCATATTCGTCCGTCCCAAAACAAGATTATCATTTCCTAATTTAGTAATTGTACTATGTACTTAACATAATAAATACCCTTTCAACTTACAATATATTACACAAATGTCATTACTTTTATATTACACCATACTAATAAGGATATTTTTGTCTTTTTTTACTATAATTCAATATAATACTAATATTAAAAAATTTACGTACAAAAAATAAACGTCCCTTCCAATGGAACGAAGGGAGTATATATCTTTTAAAAAATTGTATCGTCTATATATTATACTATTTTGAATTTGCTTCTATAAAAAGTAAAAAAAAAATAATAATAAAAAAATAAAAAATGATATATTAAATACTTATTATTTTTATATTATTTTGAATTTGCTTCTATAAAAAATAAAAAATAATAATAAAAATAAAAAAAATATATTAAATACTTATTATTTTTATATTATTTATATAATTTTTTTTTTATTTATATAAAAAATAAATTTTTAAATCAAAATACAAAATAAACAGTCTTTTGTAATTCATGAAAAAAATTAATATAAATTATATATAAAATAATTCATTAATAAATATTATATATTATATTTAAATAATTTATGTTTCCTTTTAAGGAAAGTAATATTTATTAAATTAATTAATTAATAATTTAATAATTAATAGTATACTTTTTAATATATTATTAATTAAAAAAATCATAATTATAATATCAAATATAACTTATAAGAACAGGAAGAGAACAGTTCCATCCATTTTTCTTTTTTAACTGTTGATGTGGTAAAGTCACGTAACCACCAAAGGTACGGATGAGCATTGGTCCGTTCAAATCGAAAAAAATCAAATATTTTTCGGTTCGAATTGTTTGGTTTGAATTATTCGGTTAATTGGTTAGGTTTGGTCTAACATCTAATTTATAAATTTCGGTTATAGTTTTCAATTTTTAACTTTGGTTAACCAAAAAAATCGAACTTTTAAAAATAATAATAAATTATATATAAATACATAATATATTATAATTTTGAGTATTTATATTTGATTGTATATTAAAAATATATATTAATAAATAAAAGTTCGATTTCTTCGATTTTAAACCGAATCGAACAAAACTAGTTTGGTTCAGTTTATTTGATTTTGAAAAACTTTGGTTCGGTTTCGGTTTCAATTTTTATAAACTGAAAACCAATCAAAATTAAAAATTTGGTTCGGTTTGAACCGAACCAACCGAATGCACACCCCTACCAAAGGGTTCTTATTTCGTAAGAATCGAGCATTGCAAATACTCTAAATAGTTGAATTTGAATAGTTGTTTGATGCGATATAATCAAATATTAACGTGATGTTTTGAATGTAAAATAAATTTATAATATAATATAAAAAAATAATAATTGTTTAATGGAATATTTTTTGAAAAAAAAAAACATCCAAAAAAAACACAATCTTTGTGTTTATGTGATGATGAGGGGTCTAGGTGGGGTCCCCTTGGCAGAGGGGGTTGGAGATGCCATGAACCGATAAAGGTTTACTTTTTGAGTTGTTGTATTTTTTTTATTATTATCCAATATTACTTGAATAGTATATTTTTAATAAAAAAATAAAAACAAAAACAAAAAATTTTGATGAGCCAAATATTTTATTATATAGATATATATTTTATCTTTTTTTATTCATTAATATATCAATTTTATTCTTTTTGTTTTAAAATGACAATTTTTATTTTTATTTATTTAAATAGTTCAATTTTAAGTATTAATTATTGTTGTCTTTAAAAATTAATAAATATTAGGTAATATACATTTTTAATCTATTTATTCATATTAATATCAATTTTTATCTTTATATTATTTAGATTACATTCAATCCCTTTTATTCTTCATTGTGACAATGTTAGTTATTTTATTTTTAAAATAATAATTTAGACTTGTTATCCGTTAAAATAATTTAGATTTTATTCGTAACTATCAGTTTTTTAGAAAAATTTAATATATATGGTTATTATATCACTAGCAAAAAAATAAGCTTTTGCCGGCTAATGTTCTGTAACAATAATCGTGTCACAAAAAGTTGTTAATGTTACGATTTATGTCGAGACATTCAAAAATGGCGGTGGGCAACAGTTTTTTTCTTTTGTTATGAAAATTTATCCGTACCAAATACAATTTTGACAAAAAATTGTCTTATATATATTTGTTATGAGGACCCACCGTAACCAAAAAATTAAATATTATAAATAAAAAAATTTCTGAAAATTAAATCTAAAATTATTTAAAAAAAAATTAAATACACACTTTTCATGACTTAAAAAATTATATTCCGTCATTTTTTAAAATTAAAATAAATTCAATATACAAATTATTACCAAAAACAAAAATAAAAATGAAAAGCGGGAATGCGCTTTCTATGACTCATGTATACGTTTATATATACAATCAGACAAAACGAAATATTCCAAGTGTTTCTCTCCATCGACAAAATTACAGAGAAGCCTCCGATTCGAGCCGTCGTTGCCTCCACCCTCACTCCGCCGTCGCTAGTGGAAGGCAGCCCAGAAATCGCCCTAAGCTGGCGACCTTCATCGCCTAGGTTCGAAAGTGGTCATTTGGGCTATGTTTTAGGGCTCAAAATCGACGGTGAGTTAAAACGATTGATTAACCTAACGTGTTTGTGTGTTTAAGGAGTTTTTATATAGTATAATACTCATCTAGTTGATGTTCATTTGTTCGATTAAGTTTTTGCAACATAGGTTTTTGGATTTAAAACCTAGGTTTCCCATTGACTCCTTAAAATTAGATTTTGTGGCTTTTGGATAACTTTATGGTTGAAGTTATTTTGTTAGTAATTACACAAATGTAATGCGTATAAAAGAAGTGGTATCAGGGCTTCATCGAGTTTTTAGAGGGTATTACTGGCATTTGTAATGTTTGAGTTTTTGGAGGGGATTAGCAGGATTTGTATAAAACAAATCGTATTAGCTTGTTCATAGTGTAGAGCTTATTTAGATATGTTTAAGAAGTATTTTTTTTTCTTGTTTCAATCTACTCCCAACACCAGATTATTGGTTTACCCTATTCAAACACTTAGAGCTGCAATTGAGAAACTACAATCTTGATATCCAAGTCGGTGAAAGTTGGTGGTGATGATTATCATAGCATTTGGCATGCAATGGACTGCGACGTTCTTGGCTGTAGATGGCATTGCACTGCTCCAAACAATCATAAGTTTAAAAA